TTTTGAATCGAAATCAATATATCATTGATTTAATATGAATTATTCCTACGATTTGTGGGAGTGTCTATGCGCCATTTGAAGGTCTATTGAACAATTTTTTGTTTCCCGCAATATAAATGTCGATGTTTTGAATGTCAATAATAACCAAAAAATCATATAATCCACGCGCCTACAACAACAATAATGCCAAGCACATGACACATACTTTTTAACTATATACCTAGATATGTATTGTTGTAATTGCAATTATGTGTAAACAAGTCTATATTATTTATTCGCTACATTAGTAGGCAGATTAACAATTATTAAAGGAAAGATAATCGGCCAACTCGGTTAAGAGAGATATCGGATTTTCTATGAGTTGTAAAAATCAAAACTTTTTGTCTAGTTCAGAGTGTGGCAGTAAATAATATAATGGGAATTTTCGTTTTTCAAAAAAAAAAGTTTATTCATTTGTATACATTTATGTTGTCGCCTTCAAAATAGTCCCCAATCGATATTATGCACTTAAGGCAGCGTTTCTTTCAATCGTCGAAACACTTTTAAAACTCGACTTTTGGGATAGGTTTTAGCTTTTTCAGCGATTTTCATCTATTTTGTAGAACTACGGCCCTTTAAGGTTCACTTTATTTTTGGAAACAGGAAACAGATCCAGGTATAGCGAATATGGAGGCTGCTGCATCGTTATGATATTATTTTTGGCCAAGAATTCACGAGCAAGCTACGAAGTGTGAGCTTTTAACCAACAAAATCGTCAAGTTCATAAAACACGTCTACACTTAGCGGTTGCTACAGACAAAGTAAGCAATTAATACAACTGAAAATTTCATCGTACTTCAGGGTCATGTATTTATATTGCATATACTATTGCTAAATGCAACGCTACAAGCTCCAAACATATTTTGCACATCGAACCACTACAACATTTTCGTTTTCAGATTTAGTTATGCATATAGTTGTTATAAGAAATGTAACTGTGAAGGGCATTATAACTTCAGTGATTACTTTTTCCAACACTGTACATTCCTGAAAAAATAAATTTTACTTTTTTGACTTATATTTCTCAGCTTTTAATGTGTCTTGTTTACTTTTTTTGGCTTAATGTTTTTTTTTATAAATTTGCATTTTATTGTTGTAATATTTTCCTTTTTTACTTAGTACTTTTAAAAGGCGGTTAAGCTTTATAAATACATATGTACATTTGAGTGTATACTACAATATACATTACTTGCTTTACTCATTTCTTACTTTATATTATACATACATACTAACAAGCAGAGCTGCCTGTTTAGGTGCTTTGTTTGGTTGATCGTTATCATAATTGTTACGAGTTCATTATCGGCTTTCGGCACATGATTTGAATATAAATACAGTTGTTAATAAGTAGTTGACTATATAATTTTTATTAATTTTTTTTTGTTGACATTTTTAAATTTTGCTTGCACCATAATAGTTAATATTTAAGATTAGTGATGACCAGGTTAGGAAAAATTTGTTTTGAATTTCTTAAAAATTAAATTTTGTAATTAAATATACTTTTTTAAACTTTCAATCGTAACTTAAATGAATTATTTTTGTTATCTTGAATCTAACACAAACATAAGAACCAACAAATTCAAACCTTGTTGCAGATAGGAGCTTACTATTGTGGTAGGCTTCAAAAAGATTATAAAACTTGCATATTTCCAAATTGAGAGTGGAGGCATCTCTTAAAACCACAAATTATTTTTGTATTTGTGAACATTAAAATCAGACTTTTCCGCTGCAGTTATATACATTATTTTTTGAAGCATATTCTTTAAATAAGCAGAAAAGTTTAAGTTTTGGGTATAAAATTATCAAAGAAATAAAGTGGTTAATTTTAAAGTTCTTACAAAGACTAAAAATTAATACAAACATCTTTGTACTTAACGAAATTTTCGTTAAAAACGCAATTTAAGCAATTTTGTGCTTAAAAAAACCTCGCTAAAAAGCTCAACTGAAGCTTAACGTTCGCGTCAAAGCTTTTGCAGTTGGTATACCAAAAGATGGCGCGTAGCCGTGAGTAAGGCAGCCCAAAGTTCATTACTCAGTCAAAGCTTTTTCTGTGCCCAATATACTCGTATAACACTTAAGATGGCGCATATTTCGGCCGCAAATGAACACTTGATATTCGAGATATTTGTAAAAATTGGAGCTATGTAAGTGATTGATTTTCTTGTTATCTAGAGTCTTGCTTAATATCCGAATTATCTATTTACCTACTACTATTAAAGCCAAGCAAAATATATACTTTATAAGAGGCCTAAGAATGAATGTCGTTTTATAATAAGTAAGAGAGCAATTTCAATCTTGGTACAAAGATGTCATGGGAAATGTTCTACAAATTTTGTTTAAATATGCCTAGTTGTTTGTGAGATAAACCAATTTACCTTAGATCGCATGATGCCACAACTTAATTTTAAACTGGTCTATATTATTTTTCCTTACAGAATTTTACGATTTTGTAATTATATTTTTTAGCTATTTATTGTAGTTTTAGTAGTTTTTAACAAAGCCACTATATGGTGGTAGGCGTGGTAGTGAGTAAATTTCGCCGCTTTCAAAGCTATTAGGTACGATCCATGGTGGATTTATGAATAGTTTAAATAATATAGCTTTGTTCATGAAATTGAAGCTTCTACAACATCTAAGCCTCCAATTCATGAATATTAAAATTCTCCTGAATGTGTACATACTGATTTTTAAGAAAGCCAAAGCCAAAAGTCTCAAATTAAATAAACTATTTGGCAAAATAAATTAAAAATTAAGAATTATTTGTTATTTGTAAACGCATATACATATAGAGTTGACAGATATGTATAAATATATGAGCTTATAAATGTGTAAACGAAGTTTTTAATTTATTGTATCTGACAAATTAATAAATAATTTAAGAAAGTTTCTATGTTTGTAAAAATTCAGAAGAAAAATTATGTATATATTATATTACCCATTTTGTACGGCATTCGATTTCATACTATCTTGAATTTCAAGACGTTGTTTTAACGCTGCCTTGAGAATGGCTAACTCTATTCTACCTATCTTGTAGACTGTCTTATATATAATATCTTGTAGATTGTCTGAGTTCAATAACTTTTGGTATTCCACTGAAAGAATTAAGAGCTTTACGTCGTAGTTCTGACGTGATCAACGGATTTGCTTTGATTTAGTCCATCACTCAGATGCATTCCCATTCAAACAATATTAAAAGGTCTGTCTTCTGTCAGTCACTCGAGTGCTGCCATTTTTTTCAAATTTTATTTGGGGCAAGCGTTGAATTTTCTTCCAACTTTTAGAACCATTTGTGTATACAATTTTTATTGATAGTAGATTTATAATCTATAAAAATAAACAAAATCTATGCCGTTACTTGATAGTTTTAAATTATTATTTTATAGGATTGCTTAGGTAAGAGTAAGTGATAGGTGATATATAAAATCACCTGTTATACATAAAAATTATGCGCTGACAATTGACAAGAACTATAATGAGGTTACGCTTACTCATATATATATAATTAAACGAGCAGCCGCGCCTTCCAACAAATTAACCACAATAATTATATGAAAATCTCTCACTTGCAGCGCAGTTTAATTCTCTCTTTCTGTCCGCCTTTCTGTGGTTCGACTTAAATAAATGAAAATATAAGTGTCAAAAGTTTTATTGAATTATTGATTGACAGCTGCGGCAGACGCGCGTAATGACAACGAAAAGGCTTATTTGACAGACAAGCAAAGGTGGCGGCAGTTAAGTAAAGTTATCCGAAAGTGGAAACGCCTGATAAGCAGACACCAGCTTTAGCAGTAAAACTGTATTGAAAATGAGCAATATGCCGCTGCAAGGAGCTACAATTGTGAGAAAGGATATTGCTATTGTGATTGACTCACAGACTACTTTGATTGGTTGCCTGTCAATTTGAATGCGTATTTATTTCTTTTATGACATAACTTCCCAAAGGGTTAGCGAAATACTTATTACATTGATAGCCACAAGCTTACAGAGAACAATACAAAAGAAATGAAATATTGCCCAGCGGTTGCCAGATTTCGGAATATATTAATTGTGTTCGGATAACTGACTGACATTGATGACGATCGAAAACGTTTATGTTAATCACAAATGAAGTAAACTTAAACAAAGTCAGTAAAGGAAGACTATAGTCACAGACAAAGAGAACTTTGGTTAATGAATAACAAATAGAAAACAGTTTTAATTAAACTTAATGGCAGTTGTTTTGTATTTGCGTTTAGGAAACACAACATTGAGTGACGATTATAAAAAAATATTGATATATTCGGGGAATCTACTTATAAAGTACTTAGAGCTTCGTCTAACACTAGATCCGCAGTACACATAAATTTGAATACCTTGTATTTAATTTGAAACTATCGATTTGCTGGAAGCTCCTAAATGAAGAAAGTCTAGCATACTCAAGGGGTCCATACTATTGATACTCACATATATTACTCTAAAGCTTTTTCCTGGGCGCCTAAAGGTATGCAACGGTTTCATACGCATATATGTCACATCCGGAAAAGAACATTTTAGTTCCTCATTGGCTATAGACTAGTTATTTTATGTTAAGCTACAAAATTGAACTCATATGAACAAGAATTAGCGACTACGCCAGCTTTTTGCCGTTAGTTGTTTTCTCTCACGTTTGACAGAAATGACGTCATAGCAGATCGTCGCCATCGTCATTGTTTTATGTGCAATAATTTTCCCTTATCTGGCGTAATCAATAGTTTCAAGTCGCATATTGCTGTTTTGTCGGTGTGCGGTTTTGTACGGTGCTAGAAATCAACATAATAAAAAACTATCTTAGTCTTCAACTCTGAACTTTGCAAAAAGCTCTTATTGATATCTTGTTATTTAAAAATTATCTCGATTTTTTCGAATGCAAAAGTTTCACCATGAACAGTGGCAATTTCCTGCTCATGCTCACTGTTCTAAATTATAAAAAAAATACTTTGGGAATCTTTAGTCGTCAATAGTTTTAATTGCTCCTTATAATTTTTTCTTTGTAGATCAAATGCAATATATACGCTATTTCTGATGTGGTGCATGACAGGTTTTGCGAAAAGATCTTGCTTTGTGGGCTTACAAAGTCGAGTTGTCCAAAGATCCTGATTTTAACAAGATAATTTTATTCAGCGATGAAACTCCCTTTGGTTGAATGGGTACATTAATAAACAAAATTGTCGCATTTGAAGTGATGATAAGCTGGTCCATGGGCAGTGGGCCAAAATGTTACAGTCGATGCGGTATGCTATAAAGTCATGATAAATGACTGTTTCGTGCCTGAATTGGAGGACCTTGATGTGGACGATCTTTGGTTTCAACAAGACGGCGCTACATGTCATACAGCCAATGAAACAATCATTTTGTTCACGGAAACTTTTCGTGGGCGCATAATCTCCTGTTGTGGGCATGTAGCGTTGCCTGCAAGATCGTACGTTTTAACCCCGCTGTTAACTATGGTTCTTTGACTTGATACTTACCTTTAGGTCGAAGCAGAAAAATTTTGAGGATCCTTATCTTAATTTCAGCCAATGTTATATATTATATTTCTGCGGTGAAGCAACCGCTTATGAAACCCACCATTTATGTTAAGGTGTTGAAAAAAATACAGGAACCTCCATTTGTGCATAAATCGCCAATTTTTGATTTAAAATTTGTAAATGTATAAGTTCATTAAATTTTTTTTGAACACTAAACTGAATTTTAAGGTTTTCCAGCACAAATGCAGTGGCAGGTAAAGAGTTTATGATGATTTAAGTATGTTCTTTTTTTATATGCAGTATATGAATATATGAAAATTATTATTTTTTTAATAGACTTGAAGCTCTAATTTATTTAATCGCGCACTAATTATCATTTAAACAATTCTAAGTTTTGTGAATATTGGTATAGTATAATATTTTGGAAAATGTTGCGTTATTTTGGATTACTTATTATTTTTGTAAATTAATCACTTATATGATAGGTACTTCATTTTTTTGCAATTCCCTTGGGTGCACCACCGCAAGCACCCTGTAGTTCCTCATCTTCTTCATCTGGTTTCGCCTGAGCTTCCGCTTCCTTCTTCTCTTTTACAACCTTAGCAAGTGTTGCTGCTGCTCCAGTCTGGCACTCAGCGTCTATTTTATACTTTTTAGTTTCTTTTTTAAGCTCCTCTTTAACTTCTTCCTCAACAGGTACTTGAACTTCCACCGCTTCTTGTGCTTTTTCCGCTAGTTTCTCTGCTGCTTTTTCGTCTACTTTTGCTAATGCTGCAGCCTCTTCATTGACCTCACTTGTCTCTTTCTTTTCTTGCTTCTTTATGGCGCCAGCACTTTGCGGTTTCTCTTCTTCGCGAATATTTGTTTTACTCCCTTCCAGAGAAGTTTCTGCTTTACTCCCTTCTTCAGGAATATCGGATTTAGATGCGCTTGTGACATCTGCAGACATATCTTCATAAACATCATCCTCTATATTCTCGGTAACACTTGTATCAATATATTCAATATCATCCAATTCGCTGAGCCTAGTTAATGGTGCCTTACTTCTGAGCGTGCCGAATTTATAGTGCACCATATGTTCATACAACTCGCCGGGTCGTAATATAATCGTTGGGAAGTGTGGCTGAAAAAATATAAGAAAATTGGATTTGTAATTAATGATTTGCAAGTGAAATATTTAAAGTTTATGAAACAATTTTTTGAAAACTGAGACACTTATTGAAACAGTCACTCAATTTTTCGCATAATAAAAAATAGCGAAAATATAAAGCAAAATAAAAATTGAAATCGTCGCCATTTTACCAGCTTAAAGCTTATCGTTATACACTTGTAACGGTAAATTGTGATTGTTTATATTTTGTCTTGGTGCTTGTCAATTTTATTTAAGCCTTTTCATGTATGCCATTTCAGCTTGGCTCTTTTCTTTTGTAATCCGCTTTTGTTAAACTTTAGCTGCGATTCTCTTTTACAGTCGCCTTGTCTAGCTGCACTACAATGGTCTGCTGAATAGCCTTTAATATCCTGTCTGTCTTGAGCGTATTATCCTTTCCTTTTACTTTCCGTTAATGTTTCTTTTGCTTTTGTCATTGTTGTGTGCTCTTGTCAGCTGTTTCTGTAGCTTCTGTGTACATATTTCTTTTAATTTTCTCTCACTTATGTACATCCTTACTGTTCTTCCTGCGCCCAGTCGCTTTTTACAAGCGCTTTCTTTGCCATTGTCAGTGTCAGTCACTGTTCAATACTTTGACATGGCGAAATGCTGATGCTACGCTGCATGTACGAGTATATATGGTAGAGAAATATATATAATATATCTAAGGAATATTGTATGTGTGTATATGTATACGTGTATGTGCAACACTTTGCGTGCGCGTAATTATAACCACTATTGAACTCACGTGATTGGGTGCGTCGGGGTACTTTTGCGTCTCGAGACAGAATGCGCCATGTTTGTGGTAAGTTGATCTATCTCTGCCCTTAAGCAGTTTCTGTGAAAAGAAAGTTTGAGGTATGATAAAATAACAGCAGAAATATAGCAATATTATTCTAGAATTTGATTGTATGTATTTATGTATGTATTGTATATAATGTATTATTAATTACCATGTTAATATATTAGATAAATTGCTAGATTAGAAAAGTTTTGTATTTTATTTATTAATCAGTCTGAACTTGTCATGCATCAGTGGAAGATGCAAATAACATATATAAAAGAATATAACTAAAAGTCATATTGTACATTAGCAGTAATGAAAATAATATACAGAGGAAAGACATTGGCAGAAATGAAAACAGCTATTCGAAAAATGCAGTACATTTATCATATATCTAAACAGTGACAGATCCACGAGAGGTTTTCGGTGTCAACTGTCTCCCCCTTGCCAATTCGGAGATTTTGATTCGAATTAAGAAAAATTTACGTGGTTACATCAATATTTACAATATGTTGGAAGGAAATTCCACCTTTCCCCCTAGAAAAGAATTTATGGATTCGCTACTGTATCTAAGAATTTTGCTTTTAGCAGAATTTTCACGCAGGTTCCGTGTAATATACTAACACGTTATTACCTCTGGGCCTTAATAGCCGTAATCTAGATTTTCATTTTCATTTTAACGTTCACAGGAGTAATCTCGTGTAGTAACAAAGGTATACTTAACATACGCTTCTGAGTACTTGGACTATATACATACATTTTCGAAAATAATTTTAAAATATTAAATAATGACAGAAAAAAATAATTTGGTTCAAAAATAGTGATAATTACTTAAATCTGTCATTTACAAATATTATAGAGTTCATTGCATTCAGAAGCCTCCCAAAAAGCTCTCTAAAACATATGCGTGGTTGTTGTGTTTGAAACCAACAGTTTTGGCTACAGAAAAGCCGTATTCATATAACATGTTTTGACTTATTTTTAATTGACAATTAATAACAGCTTCCACATAGAAATGCATCGGTCACGTGGTTTAATATGAAAATAATTTCAATCTAGTTATATACGAGCGAATTTATATATATATAAACAAAAGACATAGCTAAAAATTAGAAACACAGGCTCTACGAACCAATCGATTTTTAATACATCTAAAATAAAATATTTCGCACATACATACTCTTAAATCATACGAGGGCAGTTTGAGAAGTGTGTGGTGTTTTTCAAATTCCAAGCAGCGATTTTAAATGCAGTCTATAGGTAAGTAGGTAGGGTGGATTTCTGACGTCGCACCTAAGCGTTTAGGAGGCCCATTGTGAAATAGACTGTAACTGTGCTAGTTTATTTAAGCTGCAGTTAAGATCTTGGCAAAGGAAGCAATCCTGATGATTCTAATGTTTGACAGTTAAAAAATAAGGCGTGTAACATTTTAGAATTAAAATTAGATACATCGGTTTGTTCGACCCTAATCTGACATACCGAACGTTACTCCCATTTAACTAACACTGGAATCTTACAAATAGTAAGCAATCACTACCCCATGCATATTAAGGGGTATCCTAGTCTAGCTGTAATCGAGTTTTTTTTTATTTTTAAATACTTAAAATATTTAGGAATATCTTCTCGAAAGAATTAATCGAAATGCATTCGATTTTCAAAGTTATAGCAGCTCAGTTACTTTAAATTTTTTTATTCTTTAAACGCATTTTTACGAAACGTAATCAATCGTTTTACTTCAGTTGATACAACTGATATTTATATATAAATTTTTAAGGCGAGAAAAAAACACAAAATTAATTTACTATTTAAAAAAAATTTAAATTTCTTTCTTTTCTTTTGGTTGAGAGTCAATCGTTTTTATTTTCAGATGACTCCAATAGTGGAAATCGGGAAAATATACGCTCGCCCTTTTATCTACTTTGCTTCAAGAAATATTCAAAATTTTGTAATTATTAATTTATTTTATTGAAAATTTTGTTGTAAACTTTGGTAAAAAGTATAAAGAAGAATGTAAATGAATGAAGACTAGAAATTAATCGGCTGTTTCAACCTTATGCAATACGATTCCAATGGATTTCTAACACGTTGTGTATTAATAAAATATAATTCATATATATATTAAATATAAATTATATTGAAGAAACTTCTCGATATAATATAGTACGAAAAACGATTTGAGGAGTATATGGTATATAAACAGAAATATTATTCGAAGAAATCTCTCTCCTCAACTCGCTTATTATACTGTAGGGGTCAGTACCTGGTATAGATAGGGTCCATGGCTCATGTGCAATAGGTGTGGACAAGAACAAAAAAAGAACTACACTTCACACAGTTATCTAAAACGAGATCGCCTTTGGGATATGTATCTCTTTTTTATCACTCACCACTCACACATCCCTCGTTTGCTTGAGTGTGCGAGTGTAATACTCATACGACCTGGCGTACCAGCAATACAAATATGCACTGTTAATGCATTTTCATTGTATTGAATGTTAGAGTGCTGCTAGACAGAGAAATAAAACTGTGGCCAAAAACTAAAAACAGATTGGAACACTACAATTCTAGGTAAATGTAGGTTGGCATGTATGTGTATGTGTGTGCGTATAAAATGCACGCTAGTGAAACGCTTACGACACGTACGGCTAGTCAGCATGCCACAGGCGGTAAAGCACTCTAACAAATGCACATATATTCCATTTTACGAGTCACATATGCGGCTACTATATGTTTTTGTATGAATATGCTTGTAATATGTAATCTATATGGGTATGCATGTATGAGTAAGGCGGTAACTGTCTGTTTTCGTATGATATGTGTAACGCTTGGACTCGCAAGCGTGTGTATGTGTGTGCTTAAATTTGTATGAGTGTGTGTCTGTTAGTTTTCGTGTTTGCGCAAGACACATGTTTTCCTAATGAATAACCCTGCAGCTGAGCAAACACGCATGCGTGTACAAAAACAATGAGCTAGCGGAAAATAATGCTTCCAGGCAGAAAATAGAAAACCGTTAGCTTGAAACAAAAAAAAAACACAACAAGAAAAAACGTTAACTTCGGCTGCTCCGAAGTGTAATACCCTTAACATGTCCATTTATTATAGCAATCAAGTGTACATAGAGATTTTTATCTTGATTTTGCTCTATCTGTTTGTATGGCAGTTGTATGCTATGGTGGTACGTTCTGAACAATTTCTTTGCAGATTATAGTAATGCCTTGGATGATAATCGGCGCCAAATTTTTTAAATATATCTTGACATATAAAAAAGTTTTCCATACAAGAGCCTAATTTTGACTGACCAGTTTGTATAACAGCTATATGCTATTACGATCCAATCAGAACAATATATTAGAATATTGCAGCATTGTCTTGGCAAATAACTGTACCGAATGATCATGAAGATATCTTGACAAATAAAAAAGTTAACCATACAAGGGGTTTAATTTAGACCGTATGGCAACTCTATCCCATAGTGGTCCAATAGCAATGGTTCCGACAAATAAACAGTTTCTTAAGGAGAAAAGGAGGTGTAAAAAATTGCATATCGATATCTCAAAAACTGAGAGACTACTACGCGTATATACAGACGGGCAGACAGACGGATATGTCTGAATTGACTCAGCTCGTCACGCTTTATATCATTTATGTATAAACTTCGTAAGTTCGCTGACGACTCCGTTTGGGTGTTACAAACTTCGTAACACAACCGAGCCAGGACATGCTATGTACAGGGTATAAAAAAGTAATAAATAATAAAAAATAAAAGCAAGCATAAAGACATAGCAGATGCAAACACTTGACTTGCGTGCAAGCGTTTTTCTTTCTGCAGCTGCAGTAGAGGCCAACTGCAATTGGAAGTGTGCTGCTCGGTAACGGTATTGTTCTAATTTTCTTCGCATTTTATTGTATTTGGCTAGTTTTTCGACAATACTGCGTGCTTGTGTACGAGCGAAGGCAAGAAAATGGATGGGTGAGCGGAGAGTTCGGCGCTGCAGCATAAGCACGTGCCAGTCATAATAATGTCCACTTTTCAGCTAACAAAACTGTTTTGCTGCTCGACCGCATAAAGGCATCCTGTTGCACGCACGCCTGAGTGCACGCACACACATACACATATCTACATATATATATATTTCTATATATATAAAAGTATATTCATAAAGGCAAGTAGCCACATGTACGAGCGACAAATGTGAAATAAAGTGCAGCGGAAACGGAAATTGTACGATTACAATCATAACATACGCTGTTGGCCTTCAAGAAGTGAGCGCGTACGAAATGCTGTGTGTACTTTTGGGCTGCAAAAACAACAATAAATATTGCACTAAATGTAATTTCAATTACTCTGCGCTATGAAATTCACTTTTGCAGTCACTCAATTGAATTAGTTTCAAAACACATTTTAATTGAATTTTAAGCTTAATTAGCGGTGTAAACATGTGTGCGTTTAAGAATGCAAGCCGGCGTACATAAATCTGTTGCATATAAGCAGCAGTTGATACTTAAGGAAAATAAATATGACTGCACAGCAGTTTAAGAAGGATTTATTAGAATACATCGAGTGAGGTTAGGTTTGATTAGGTTTTTTTAAGTACTAAAACTGATTCCTGCAACCAGGATCACACTTGGAAAGTTATGAAGCAGTCACTTAGGCTGCAAACAACTTTTAAAGTTAAAATTTGCAACCTTAAGACATATGTTGTCGTTTCTTAGGAAATCTTCCCAATTGTATTCAGATATAATTTTATTTGCTGTAAATTGGCAGTGTGTTTTATTTATTTTCCTATGGTCCTCATGCACTTCAAATTCTGATTTAAATTATATGATATTATCGAATTCGGAAAAGTTCAGGTTGCCACCTATATAAAATTTACTTTAATATATATTTTAAAGGACAATCAAATGGGAGTTTTTTGGTAAATACTTAAAATTCGCCATTTTATTTAAGATTCTTATTAAAGAAGGGATATAAGGTCAAGATCAAGGACACCAAACAAGAGGTATTCAGGAAAGGTTGAGGTCGAAGAATATTTGCTATATAATAAAAATTGAGT